ACTGATTATTATATTAAGGGCCTGATCCTGCAGAACATTTTCAATGAGAGTTGAGGGCATTCAGCACCTCACAAGTTCAGGAGCTAATTAATTATTTTTAACAATGAGGGTAATTAGCCATTGGAACCATTTATCAAGGGTTGTGGGGGATTCTCCCTGACAGGAAGTTTTAAAAATCAAGATTGGGATGTTTTTCCAAGGGTTAAGTCTACACTGCAATGGGATGCATGCTTCCCAGCTGGGGTAGACAGACGTGCTAGCTCTGCTGGAGATGGTGTTCTAAACGTGAAACCAGAGGTAGCACAGGACTACTCTGGGGGTCTAGACAGATGGAGAGCAGGACATGTTGCCCCAACACTGGCCTGTTTCTTCATATGGGATATTAAACTGAGATCCCTTCTGCTCAGCTGTAGGGGCTGTCCAAGTGAATGTTCCAGGTCTCATGGCACTTTTTGAAAAAGGCAACAATAACTCTGGAGTCTTGGTCAATATTCCTCCCCCCAACCTCTGCAATGGATTTGGATGACAAAAACTGGGCATAAATTATTGCTCAGTGAGGAATGACTGCCATATTATCCTACATGGGTCTGGAGCCATCAGTACAGTGTACAGCTCCTCCTTTAGTGGAGCTCTTTGGAATAGCTTGGGTATGAAAGCTGCTCTGTGAAGCCAAATTCCATTCTATTTTGTACCCCTGACTGTAGTTCTTAAATTATAACAGAAACAATAATCTACAGACCTTTCATGTCCCATTCTTCACAAGTGAAAACATAATGACAGCCAACCTATTTAGAACCATCCTTTAAATACCCCACAAGACATGGATTGCTTTGAGATCTAATGTCATTTTAAGTGTCCCATCTGGTCATTTAAAGGCTCTGCATTACTGCAGGGATATTACGATGATGAACAAGTATCTACCTCAGCTAGAGGCACATGGTCAGAATGAAAACCACTCCCACCGGAAAGAAAACCCCATGCAGGGAAAGATGAAACGCTCCTTATTTCCAGAATGTTGAGTTCATGAGGGTTTCTTGAATTTTAGGTGTTTCAATTTATAGCATTGCACAGAATTAGCGTTGCGGATTCGCTTAGCTTTGGGGGTATTTTCCTCTGATTTTTACCGTATTTGCTAAGTAAGGCAGGTAGTTTGCGTTTTGTTTCTTAATGTTCTGGGAGCGGGTTACTTTCTGCATGCCCTGTTTGATTTTTGTACACTGCTACATGCCTCCCAACGGCAGGAGAACTCCAAACACGAGTCCACGTCTTTGGTCCCCTTACTTGATTCAAACCTTCTCACTTGACTCCTTTGCCATCATGCCTGACTCGCCTACTCCTATGTGAACAACACCAGCCGCGCATTTCTGTACTGTCCGCTGACCTGGCTGCGGTGCGTGTGAGAGCGGAGACTGGGGCCCCACGTGCAGTTGTGCGGGGCGGGCCGCTCCTCGCGTGGGTGCTGCTGCGGGACAAACGCCCCGGCTCTGTGCATGGCGGAGGCTCGTTCCAAGCGGCTGAGGCGGGAGAGGAGATCACCGGCCTCGCCTCTGCTGCTTTTTAAACGACAACAATGGTGCAAACGAAGGGGCAGGGGGCTGGGGAAACCCAGCGTGGAACTCGTTCATGGCTCCGAGTTCTGGGGAGCGGGGCAGGCTCTCCCAGGGCCGGCCCTGGACACCCAGCACAGAGGGGAGGGTCCCTGCTCTGACCCCCGGGGGAGGGCGGGAGGAACACGCCCCAGCCCCTGCCCCTGCACCTGTCCGGGGCGCGGCCGCGCTGAGCGCTCCCTCTTCTCTCCCGGGGCAGCGAGCGCCAAGGGAAACCTCCCTCGGGCTGCTCAGAGCCAACGGGGGAAGCTGCAGCGCGGCTCCCCGCAGACCCCGCACTGGGGATGTTGCCCTGGGCGGGGCCGATGCGCCCCTATCACCGAAACGCCTCTGGCCACCACCTGCTTCCCGAGTCCGGGCCCGATCCCGCGGGGAAGCGTGACTCGGACCCTGGCTAAGCACGAGAACAGCAGGAGCCCGCGCTGCGCCGCGTGCCCGTCTCGGGGGCTGCCTGACTGGTTTGGGGTGTTTTTTAATGAAGCGCAGCAAGCTGGGACCCGCCGGAGCATCCGCCAGCCCGTGAATGGGGCGGTTTGCTCCAGGCGAGCTCCAGCTCAGCGGGTGGCAGGCAGCCCTGCTGCATCAGCATCTCCCCAATGTAATGAGCTCGCGCGGGCGGGCGGTGGTGTGCGCCGGCGAGGGAACCCCTACGTCTGGCTGGTCCCACTGCGTCCCCCCAAGCCGTGCTCAGCCCCCAACCGCCGCTGGCCCTCGGAAGACACTCGCTGGGCTGGACTGTCAGCCAGTGAAATGGGATTTATTCCAAGCTAGCAAGTCCCACCTGCGCGAGACACAGGGCTGCCAACGCACAGGTGCGCATCACGCGTTCACACCAGGCGGGGGGCTACCCACCGAGCTGCTGTAATGCGAACTGTGCCCGATTGGGCTCCCGCTAATCCCCCTTTTTAAAAACACCCACCCTGCCAGACACAGCTGCCGGGAGCCATGAACTCAAATCCGAGCAATGCCTGTGGGGATCAGAGGGTGATACACAAACTTTCTGCAGAACAACGGGGCCAGGAGACCCATGCTGGGCTAAAACCAACCACTCCGAGGCCGAGCAGTGCATGGTATAAAATATGTGTATGCCCCTTCCCATGGGTTCCATAATAAAAATGGGCGAGGGGACGCAAAGCCAGGAGCCCCAAATCCTTCCCGGAGTGACCCTGGAAGAGCTAGACGCAGGGAGCCCTGGAGTTCCCCGCTGCGCTGGAGTTCAGCTTTCAGACGATACAAAGTCTGTGGCCGGCTTGTGACCGATTTTTTCTAATCCACCCGCAACAGGGTGCAAATTTCGACTCACTTCTCGCAGCCGGGCAGCGCTGCGGTGTCCCCTTTTGATGCCATGACTGGGGCTGGGGCGCGCGGCCCCTAGAACACCGAAGAGCAACGTGTCCTTTGGGTTACAGCCGCCCCCCATCCTGCTTAAGCAAAACTCCCTTTGGCAACAAGATTGGCCCTCAATGTGCAAATGAATGGAGAGACAGTAGGGAATGTTCATACCCATTTGGTTAAACTTCAATGCACCACCCCTCTCCCTTTCCCCGGACTATTCATCTCCAAGTGACCACTATTAATTACAGAGCGAGTTCTCCTGTCTTTAACACTAGATCACCTGATCAGTTCCCTCCACCTCTTTGGGCTCAAGGATTGCTTCTGCTTTGTAACCACAGGCCAGCGCTGTCCTCATTTTGCAGCTTCTCCAGACTGTCAGTATCTCAGCCACAGGTTTCAAGATTATTTTTAGCGAACCTACAGAGGTCAAAGGGCACAGGCACTAGGAATTACCCGCTCTGTGCATTTTAGAAGAGCACTCAGTCCTGTAGCTTTTTGCATTGCTTAAATGCAACATTACTGGTGCTGAGCCTGAGAGATGCAACTAGATATGACTAGAGCCCAGACCTGCCCCCCTAGGAACCTCAAATTCTCCGATGAAGAGGAGTATGGGGTGGCACAACCAGGATAGAAGTGCTTTTAAAATGGCTTTTCAATGCCAGAAGTTCTGGGGTTCTCCCTCCCATGCACCAAACATACCAGTTTCCTCCAGGCCGGGAAAGGGGCACAGAACAGGTTGCTGTCAACATGGTTGTTTTGAACTAAACATGATAACTGCCCCCAGATCCTCATGTTACTAACCCACAAGAGCCGGTCAATTCAGTGTCAATGCATCCCAAGGGGCAGGTCATCTTCCTTTGCTGGGGAAGAGATAATCAAGGGTAGCATTGCTCTTACAACAATGACAATTGACTTTCTTCTCATCATTTTGTTCTTCTTCAGCACAGTAATTTAAGTTGTTAAGCATTTGGGAAGGGGTGACCCCAGTGGCCATTACAGTTTGGACAGCCTTGTAAAAAAACTGTGTCACTCACTACACACAATTAAAACGACCAGATTTGGGAGTGATTAACTAATGCACATTTTAAAATCATAAACAGTAATGATACGCTCTGAAAGATCAAAAATGTAATTATTTCTCTGGGGCTAAATGGTTATTTTAAGCTCAAGGTATACATTCAAATTACCATTCATAGCAGGGTGCATGTGGATGTGGAGGGAGAGAAAGCTTCATGTTTCAGTGAAAGGGAAACATTTTGCTTCATGTGCAGCCCAAGAGAAAAAAGCAGAAAAGACACAAGGAGATGCTGATGGTAGAATATATACTGTTTATTTATGAATGTAACCAGGATTTCGACAAACTTTATATGCAGTTTTTTTCGAGTTCATAATTCACCACTCTGTGTGTGTGTGTGTATATAGATAGATGATTAGATAGAGAGATATCGATATAGATATCTATACACACACACACACACTCACTCACTCTCACACATACACACAAGCACGCAGGCAACATAGCTTTCCAGATATCACACTTGCAAACAACATTAACTCTCCTTCACCTTGCACTTTTCTCCAATTACCCATATTTGAAATGGACTCCTCTTATTTTCTCTCTCTCGCTCTCGCTCTCTCATATGTTAAAAGGAAAAGCACCGGCTGGTTAAAAGTGCTCGCTAGCAGTGGGTTGGTTTGTTGTTTCCCTCTCCCTTGGGAGGATCCAGAGTCCAGAGGGCTGCAGTTAACTAGCAGCACCGTCTTCCCCCACCCCCACGGGAATGAAATCCCAGACACTGGATGTGACCTAGCCCCCACTCCCAAGGTAATCAAATCCCAGACACCCCAGAGGCGGAGACTTTGGGGTTATTAGGAGGCACCCTGCCCCCTAAGGAAGCCATAACCAAAAATGCTGCAGCACAAGGGCATGATCTCTCTGCCACCAGATAAGAAAGTGGTGATGGCAAGGATCTAAGCAATACAATAAAATAAAGTGTGGCTAGTATACACAGAAGGGTATCACATTACATGAGGCACAGCTTGGACAGAAGTGACAGACTTGGAGAGAGGCTTAATATCCTCGAACAAAGCCAGATACACGGAACGTTCGTAGTAAATACCCGCATCGATAGGTATTTATTGTTTTGTGCTTCGCCATGTCACGACATACAGTACAGGCATCGCTGCTCTTCGTTTTGGTTAAAGGAGAATATTAAGGACTCCTTCGCTAGGTGCTGTAGCCTGTTCCCTTTCAGTCCTGGATTCCTGTCCAACAGGTCCCCTCTAACAATGGGTAAGGGGGGGGGGGGAACGATCTGTTTGCATTGCCCCCAGAGTCCACCAAACCTCCCCCCACATACAAAGGAATGGGAGAGATTCATCCGAAAGGCAGCAGCACGGACAGGGACAGAGTCTGGATTGCACTCAGCTTTCACTCGCCTACTGATCAACGAGCTAAACAACAGGCATATACATTCTCCCCAAGTTGCTTGTAATGTCTTACCCACTTTTCTTCCTGCCAGAGCTTCCTGTGACCCCCACCAATCAGACCCCCCTACGGAGGAAGACACACACGTTTCCCCAGCCAGTACCAATTATGCCCCAACCCCACCAAGAGCGCAGGACCCCTACCCGTTTGCTCAGCTGTCAGGCTGATGTGAACAGAAAGCCCACCGAGCTTTTGAAACCAACTGTTAAGGCACAGCGTGGGTTGTCTTTACCCTGTAGACACGTGGGCGTTTTCTTTCTCTTTTCAAAGCACACTCTTTTCAGCTTATTCGTGTCGTTCCTAAGGCACGGACCGTTTAATACTACAGCTGCCTGGATTCTTTTATCTGTCAATAATTAAAAACCAAACCCACCCCATGAGACAAGCTGAACCGCAGCTCTCGACCCCGGCAGGGATCTGAATATGGCACCAAGAGTTTGCAAAAGTCCGAGTTTGTTTGGAGAGGGGCGGGCGGTGGGGAGCGGGGGTCTCACGCGCAGTTGCCCATGGCCTTGACCAAGGAGCTCTCCGGCAGCTGTCTGAAGATGCCCCTGAGTGTCTCCAGCTCCCTGGTGAGCTGCTCCACCCGCTTGCGCAGCCGGTCATTGTCATTGGTGAGCTCCATCACCTTCTGCTGAGTCTCCGCGTTGCGCTGCTTGGCCTTGTCCCGGCTCTTGCGCACCGCGATGTTGTTGCGCTCCCGGCGCACCCGGTACTCGCTGCTGCTCTTGTCCACCGACTTTTTCGTCTTGCCCCGATGATCCGCGGGCATCATCTTGAGGGCGCCGGTGGCGGCGGGCAGGCTGCTCGGGTGGTGCGGGTGGTGCGGGCTGGGCACCGGGGTGGGCGGCGGCGTGGGGTGCCCCGGTTGGAGGTGCATGGTGGTCTGCGCGCAGTGGGCGATCTGGTACTGGAGATGGGACGGGTGCTGCTGCTGGGGGAGGTGCGGGTAGAGGGCAGCCAGAGCCGCCTGCTTGCCCTCCGCTTCCTCCCGCGGCTCCTGTTTAATCACCAGGGGCCGCAAGCCGGGGGCAGCGATGCGCTCGTACAGGGGGTCCAGCTTGCTGTCCGTGTAGCCGCCCATGCAGCCGAAGAGCTGCTGGGGGTGGTGCTGCTGCGGCGGCTGGTGCCCCTGCCCCAAGGCGGCGGGGCTGGCCCCGTGCATGCTGTGGAAGTCGAAATCTCCGGCCAGGATGGCCTTGGCTTTCTCCTGCTGCTTGCTGTGCTGGAAGAGGTCGGCCAGGAACTCGTCGTTGAAGGCGGCCGGGTCGATGTAGGCGCTGATGTCGATGGAGTTCTCGTTCTCGCAGATGTCGCTCAGCTCCGCGCCTCCCGCAGCAGGTGTAGCCGCCGAGGGAGCCTCTCTGTAGCTGTAGGCGCTGCCGGGCTGCGGAGTCGGGAGGTGGCTGCTGCTGCTGCTCATCGGCGGCCGGGAATCGACCTCGTAGAAGTTGGCTTGCTCCATGGAGTATCTAAACTCTGCCAGGCATGGTGAAGGGCTCCTGGAATCCAGGGTTTGGGGTGGCGAAGGGGACCCCGGCGGCCGAGTGAAGCTCTCCGAGCCCAGGGACCCAACACCCCTTGCGCCTCTGCCTGCGGATCTTGAGTGTCAGCCGCGAGCCGCCCTGACTTCCCCTCTCACTTCAATCAACTTGTGCCACTGCTTACCCTGCTCTTGGCGATCCACTCCCACCAGCGTGTCCGAATTTCTCCCTCGCTCTTAACCTTCAATTACTACTGGGTTGACTTGGTTTTATGCCTGCTGTATATATACACTCCCACCAGGGCTGGGGATCGCCCTCTAGTGTCCAACCTCCCGCTGGGAACCTTTGACCACAAGGCAGCTGCCAACTCTGCTGGGTCTTAGTGCCTGTTTTACCCGTCCCAGGCTGCCTCAGTTAAATTACAAGCCGCCCCTAGCAAGAGATAAGCAAAGCTCAGGGTCCAGCAGCAAGCGCGCATCTGCACCTCCCCGGAGAACGATTCGTAACGAATCCCTCCTTTAAATACCCTTTTCAGGGGTAAGGCGTTATTGTCTCCCCGGAACTGCGAGGCTAGAGAACTTGGACGGAGTTTGCAATTCGCAGAATGCAACATTGTAGTGTTCCCCCACCCCCACCCCATAGCTTCAAAGACTTGAACCAGATAGAAGAATGCCGGGTTTAAACCTGTTGGAAAGGTTGCGCACCTGGGGACACTGATAAGAAGCCCTGTGAAACGTGTATGGCAGCCCAAGGTACTTTAAACCCTGCCTTCCTCGTGCCTCGGCACAGGAGTGAAAGGCGAAAAGTGGCCCAAATAAATCGGCACATTTCCATCAGCCACTTAAATCGTGAGTCCTTGCTTACAAATTCGACCTATTAAGTCCAGGGACACTACAGAGGAAAGCCCACGAAAGCTTATGCTCAAATAAATTTGTTAGTCTCTAATAAGGTGCCACAAGTACTCCTGTTCTTTTTACAGAGGAGAGCCTCAACTTCCACGAGCCCCACGTATTTTACAAATACGAGCTGCAAGTATTAGCGGGATCGTGTTTGCCTAAGTATCAAAGACTATTTCAAGCACTCTGCGTTGTTCCTTGAACAAGCTGTCCTGTTACGGCGCTGGCAGTTCCAGGAGCAGCCGAGTTTGAACAAGTTCTCGGCAGTATGGTTTCCAGGTGAGAAACCCCCTTTGCATTCGTTCAGCTGCGGATTCCAGATTCAAACCCGGCACCGTCAATACCTAATCCGCACACCGGCAAGTCAGACAAGTGAGACCGCCTGAAGTTAAACCCAGCGCCACCCCTGGGCACTAGGACCCAGCAGTAAAGCCACAACAGCCGCCTCTTATCTGGCTGGATAGAGGCGGAGCCCTCAGGGATGGGGGTGAAATTCCACTTCTCTCTGCAGACTGCAGCTGGCAAAGCGCGCTCGGAACTTTTTTTTTCAATACAAGGCACATTAAAAGCTCCCCTGTTAGACTTCGTGTTAAGGAGACCGCTTGGGATACCTGTAGGCAAAGGTTTATGAGGGATTAAAGCGGCTGAGTTTTATAGGGGGGTTGCAATGGGACCTCTGTGGTCAATGTTATCTTTACAACGTACAAAGTTCTGTGTGTGACATAGCTGCGTCTCACGCCTGATAACATCACCAAAGTCAGACATCTGTAATTCGCTCGGCTTCACTGCACTGGGGCATTGATTAGCTGTCACATTTATTATAGGCCAGTAGAATTTGGGTTGAAAAGCAGAAATGCCACCAACCAAACAGGCAGGCCCCGCTCCAGAAGCCAGCCGCAGTTTATGCTGGGCTAGGCAGTACTCCTTTCGCCTCTACGTTTAGCTTATTTTCTAATTATTCGGCTCATTTCCCGGGACTTACACTGAGGGTAGCCCCAGCAATGATATTATGGGTGGTCTCGCCAACCCATTCCCGTCTTGCTGGTGTAACAACCGGCTCCATCCGCCTCTGGCTAAACGAAATGTCTCTCCTCCTTAACTTTGCCAACCGTGCCGGGGGGGGGGGGGGGGGGGGGCACGGCCCGGATTACTTTCGCAATAGAAAGTCGGCGATAAATGCACGGGCCCTATTGGTAACAATCTGGACCCCGGAGATAACCGGAATGACCGAGTTCCGAAATGCAAACACACCATCGCGCGTGACCCAGCTATCAGCGTTCGCCCCCGATAAACCCGCGCCCACCAGGTAACCGTGGAGCCTGGCTGCGCCCGGCTGGGTGCATGCCCCTGGGCTGTATTTCCTTGAGACTGTCCCGGGGGGTGCCATCGCCAGGGGTTTGAGAGAGGACAGGCATTTCCCAGCCAGCGTGACTCCTCTTCGTGCCCAGTACAGCATGTCCTTACAATAGCTCCTCCCTGGCAAAGCCACAGCCCCGGTAAAATACTAGGAGTGGCAGAGCTCGGCTTGGGCGGGGTGAGGATGTACATTATTTCCTTCTGTTGCAAGACAGCGTGTGTATACATAGGGCTCCCCTGGGGCTGCGTGCTTCTGCAATCTATCCCATACAGATCCCGCACTTCCAGCAGACACCTTTGAAATGTGCCTTGATGAAGCAAACCTAAGGGCCATTGGAGTCGATGGGAGCAGGGCTAGGTCTAAAAGGGCTAAGGGATGCTGCAGAGACAGTTGTGAAAATGGAAGGAGGGGGGGTGAAAAAGTTTATTTTCCTGTTCCAAAAATATTTTTAAAGTACTTGTATTATAAGGATTAGTTTGTGTCCCCCCCTGCTTAATTCCCTGGTCCCAACTAAGAAACCAGAATCTCCTTGCCAAACTATCTAGGCAAATAAAAAAAAAAAAAAAAGTCACATATTTTAAGTCTTCAGTAAGTTCTGAGTTCTGCAAACTCTTATTCACTATAATAGGCCTTGGTCCCTTAGTAATTCTATTAACTTCATTGGGATTCCTCTCGAGTAAGAGAGGAGGTAGGATAAAGCCCTAAACTAGTCGGTATTTGCTGGCTCAAAAAGTAGCTGAATTTTATGCCATTAATACTATCTGACAATGAACGTTCTGAAGAGAAAATAAAGTTGGAATGTGAGATTAACACTGTTCTTATATTGGATGCTATATATTGTGAATCTAAATAAATATTCCATCTTGTGTGATTAGAAAGAGTAAGAACACGTTGTTCTAATGGCTCAGTTGTACTTTCGTCTCCTACTGGAGAATGGATTCAGTAATTACAGTGGAGAAGAGGCTCATGTGCGGACTTAGAAATGTACATCTCGATTTTCAATATAAAATTTAAAAAATAATGTAAAGTTCATCTTGGATTTTTCTGGATACAGAAATAATTCTTCCTAAAGATGACCAGGATTGATATAAATGCTGCCATGAGTGGAATGAGCCCATGATCCATATGGAATGCTATCTAGCAGTTCTTGCACAACCTAAACTCCACTGGCTTTAATTCTGAAGGGCAAATGCAGAATGAGTCCTCTAGTCTCTCACAGAAACCAGGTCTGGATACCTCAGATGAAATTATAAAACCTCCATACTGCACCTAATTATTCATTACTATACTGTGTGTCCAAATCTTGCTTGCTATATACAAGTAACCCCGTTCACAACAAAGAGACTATTTGTCTGAGTCCAGGATTTTGCCCCTTCAGAGGAAATATCTCTCTGACTGCCAGTTGATGATTAATTTATACCTCAAGGTTTTTAAGGGCCTTATCCTTCATTGAAGTCAACAGGAGTAGGCCCTAGCTATTTAAAATGAATGGTCATTGCTGTACTGTGCATCATAAATGTGTAACCAAAATGTTTGCAATCAAACAACAGTATCTACTAGTGCCCTTAAAACACATTCATATTTTATAACAATTCTGAAGTTTTGATTTGAACCACAACTTAAAAGAAATTCAAAGTAAAGGCTGAACGTTTGGGATCATATTCTATTCTTAACTATCATTATCTCACAAACAAGCAAACAAACGAGTCCCTACAATTAGGTACTTTGACTGGTTTGCCCAGCGTGTTTCTCCTTAGATCTAGTTATATTTTAAATGGACTTTACTATAATGCAAACTAGGTCACCAGCCTACACAAATGAGATCATTCTTATTGTGTTCTGCTTTTTTGTCCTTCACTTTTCTAAGAAACTGAAAACCAATAAACTAGAAAACCTACCAACTGATAATCTCTCTGGAAGGTATAAATACATATTTTCACTTCCAAACTTGTGGACAGATAGCAGTGTATTTGCAAGAGCTGATTCCAGTCCCCAGACCTATTGGTCTCAGCTAAATGTGTTAAGGAGTTAATGAATTCAGCCCAAAAGAGGAAGGATGCCTATTGCATCACCGATCTCTGGAACAGCACTGCTGTCAACTCTTGAGGGTGCTATTCTTCCATCTCACAATAAGATCCTGCTCACTGATAACTGTAAGGTTAAGGAACGATTAGGAAAAAGGCCCTAGAATTCTAAACAATATTATCAGTTAACTGGACAAAATCAGTTGTGATTGCTGCTAGTAATGAGAGGACTCTGAGAAAATGAAAAGAAAGAGCAGATCATAATAATTAAAGAATACAAATACATTGCTTTTTGGTTTTAAAGTTAATTTAGTGGCCCTTAAAGGTGCCAGCTTGATAGCAAAGCAAACCAAAGTCTTTTCTTTTCCCACACCTACCCTTGCAGTCATTTCATACTCCAGACTATCATTGACTTCAAAGCAATTTACTTGTGCATATAGCTGCAGGATCCAGTTGGCTTTACATATTGCATGGCCAGTACGATAGTTCTCATTCTGCTCCACTAGGATGAAAGTGCACAAAAGTGTAAAGCTTATTCTTGTTCGATATTTTGTATTGTGGTAGCACCCAGGAGCCCCAACCATGGACCAGGATCCCATTGTACTAGATACATTTATTTTATTACATTGTTAAGTAAGGACATTTCACCACCACTAATAGGGCTCCAGAATGCTCTCTGTTTGCATGCATAACTACTGTTGACATTAATGATAATTTTGTGCATGAAGTGGGGGGAGTGGGTAGTTCTGAATAATGAGGCAGTAGATATAAGCAATACTGGCCCATATCTCGATGCTTCTGCAAATACTTAGTCAATCTGTGTTTCATATGTGAATGCAGTGTGCCCACATTTCATTAATATAATTGTATTTAACACTTGACAGAAACCTTTAGATGAACTAACCAGAAAACCTACCCATGTGTAAATACAGAAGTATGTTTTTAAGCTATGACATTCAATATTTAATTCTGACCAGACCTAAGATTTTTTTTAAAATTGAGTAAATTGTAAAAAAAGCAAACCACTATTTGATGTCCTGCAAAGTACATAATGTCTAATTTTTTATT